AGCAAATGTAAAAAGTAATGTCTCCTGTGCTAGATTAACTTGCTTTTTGTTAGTTTATTTCTCTATTCATATCAAATAATAAAATATTCATATGTAATCCAGACATTCATAATAATATTAAAGGCAGCACTGTGTACTTGACAATTGGTAAATAATGAAAGAATTTTTTCATGATTATGTGTATAAAATACTCAAATTAATCTATAAAGCCATATAATCCCAAAATGTACAGGTTTGCTATAGAGCTTGCAATTGTATCACTTCCTATATAGAAGTACTATTTGACCAACAGGATTTTAGTTGCCTGCTGCATTTGAAATATGATGATACTAATAAGAAAGACTGTTAAAAATAGAAATGCTAGAAATTGCAGTCTTTTTTTTTTTTTTTTTTTTGAGACAGAGTTTCACTCTTGTTACCCAGGCTGGAGTGCAATGGCGCGATCTCGGCTCACTGCAACCTCCGCCTCCTGGGTTCAGGCAATTCTCCTGCCTCAGCCTCCTAAGTAGCTGGGATTACAGGCACGTGCCACCATGCCCAGCTAATGTTTTTGTATTTTTAGTAGAGACGAGGTTTCACCATGTTGACCAGGATGATCTTGATATCTTGACCTCGTGATCCACCCGTCTCGGCCTCCCAAAGTGCTGGGATTACAGGCTTGAGCCACTGCGCCTGGCCAGAAATTGCAATCTTAATTATTTAAATGAAATAATAAATAGGCCACATAAAGATTTTAGAACCCAGTGAAGCAATATTACAAACAGATATAAAATGACAGTGAAAATCACATGTGAAATTTTGAGGCAAAACTTATTGGAACAAGTATTCTGTCAGGAAAAGTTGTGATGTCATCTGTAGGGACATGGATGAATCTGGAAACCATCATTCTCAGCAAACTGACACAAGAACAGAAAATCAAACACCTCATGTTCTCACTCACAGGCGGGTGTTGAACAATGAAAACACATGGACACAGGGAGGGGAGCATCACACACTGGGGTCTATCTAGGGGCTAGGGGAGGGACAGCAGAGGGTGGGGAGGTTGGGGAGAGATAAAATGGGGAGAAATGCCAGATAGGGGTAACAGAGGAATGGAGGCAGCAAACCACATTGTGATGTATGTACCTATACAACAATCCTGCATGATCTGCACATGTACCCTAGAACCTAAAGTAAAATTAAAAAAGAAAAAAGAAGAATGTGAATTGGCTGGTGGAATGACAGAAACAATATGGCTTGTGGAGGGAGAGCTGACATGTTTGACTGTTTGACAAATAATACGATTGATCTTCTGGTCCTACCTTTTAAGTTTGTGATAAGAGGCTGCTTCGCATAATAAAGAAACAGAAATGAATTCCAAATCCTTTCTCACTCACAAAGATCATCGCTGAGGCAGTTTACTTTTCTGAGCTCTGGTTATGAAAAAGAATGCCGATTTCATGGTGCGATTTTAAGACTTAGAAGTGCTGTGTACGATGCTTGGCACGTAATAGGCTCTAAACAAAAATTAGCCCTCTCTCCTTGGTAGATTACCCAGGACACTACTATCAGTGTCAAATCAGGAAATTCATTAAGTTGTATTATCTCCATTTTAAGATCAAACACAATATATAGTCAAAAAGTTGAGTGTACAGTGTTTTGGGTTTTCAGGAGTTGTCGTCAAACATGTGGTTTAAATAAAGACCAGAAGTGATTCAAAGGTCCAGTAAGGCTGTTGGTCTGTGGTATTCCCAATGCCTTTTACTGTGCTAAATAGATATGGCTACAGTAACCATTGATAAACATGAACAACAGAGGGAAAGTGCCAGACTAGGGGAGGATTTACAGAAAGCTAAAGGGTTTAAGCTTCAGAGACCTTCACCTGCACACACCCCTTTTTAGGCCTTGTATCTAATTTTTAAGTTACATTATTTTGCTTAAAGAAGGCCCCCAAATTAAATAATCTATAGGCCCGGCAAAAGCTGGATCCCCCTGCTATTGGTCTGTCATATAAAAGGGGGAAAAAAATCACTATGACCAAAAAGGAATAAGGCAACCAATAGCAAGAAACATGAGTTTTGCTTTTCTTGCCCAAATCATGATTTGATGGTAACCCTTGATCCTAGGTGCTTACATGCTTTTGATCACACATTAGCCCTTGCCTACCGAGGAAAGCACGCTCTAGTCCAGCATCAGCCTAAGAATTGCCCATATGAAGAAGTAGGAACTGCCTGTCAATCCAGGAACTTGCAGTTAAATTACACAGGTATTTGATTTCTGGCATTTTTAGGTGGGTAAAGGGGAAGAATTAGATGGGAACCATCTTTATATTGACCTGACTCCATATGTACCAAAATGAGTTAGGCACTGTGCATAGATTATCACATTTTATACTACTTGGTAAGGAATATTATCTCACTTGAGGCTTGGGAGAGGTGAAGTAACTTCTTTTTAAACCGCTAGTGGAGCTAGAATTCAGACACAGGGCTTTGTGAAGTCAAAGCTCGTGGTCTTTTCAACCTCCCTGTAAGGTTGAAGCTTACTTGCCAGTTGTCAATCAGCCACTGAAAATGAATGGACATTTCACCTCCAGTTCACCTGACAATTTTGAATACTTGAACTCCTGCCAGTCAATTGGCAAGCTTTTCTTTCTTGGTCCCTTCATTTCCCCATGTATGAGTGCCTGCCTGTAATATACTGCATTCTACTTTATTACTTCTTCAAAATGGTCACAGTCACCAAGAAACTCTCCAGTTAGGTCGGTAGACAGACAGAAGATAGACAGATAGGAAGAAAAAAAGATGAGGGGTGTGGGGGAAGAGAAAGAGGTGTTATTTTTTAAATAAAAATTTTATGATTGCTATGATTAATAGCTATTATTATTTTACAAGCAGCCTCATGAGTTCTTTTGAAATTCATGTTGTTCTTTTAAATTTCAGCTTTACATTTTAGCTATTTAATCCGTAAAACTGAAACACTGCTCATAATTTGGAGTTAGCAACTTCAATTTTTTATTCCTAAGACCTATACAACAAGGTTATAATTTAAAGTAAGGAAAAATTTTCATCTCTCAACCTTTTCATTTCTCCTTTCACAGAGCTCTTCTCTTTTTCCTGGATAATTTTTTTTTCCACCTTCATAATCACTGACCAGTTATTTGTAATGCAGTCATAACTATACTACTGCAGAAATTCAAGTCAATACAGTGCAATAGTGGAGGGAAAGGATAATTTTAGATGAAATATGTAAAGCTGTGGCCTGTGGCCAAGGCTTGACTAATGAGTCAAACAACTACTGAAGGATTTGACACCCTTGTTAATTGTAAAATTCCCATTGCATTAAAATGTTGACTGACACTTTAGACCCAAAACAACATAATGAATAGAAACTTGCACTAATCAAAATGGTACCGGGAACATGTTAAATATGAGTTCTAAGCAAAGAACTCATGTATGAATGAGTGAAGAGGTGACTCGAATGGACCAAGTACCTCCTTCAAGTGCAAGCTTGTCCAGCCTGCAGGCCACTTGCTGCCCGGGAGAGCTTTGAATGCAGCCCAGCACAAATTTGTAAACTTTCTTAAACATTGTGAGCTTTTTTTGCAATTGTTTTTTACCTCATCAGCTATCGTTAGTGTTAGTGTATTTTATGTGTGGCCCAAGACAGTTCTTCTTTCAGTGTGGCCAAAAGATTGGACACCCCTGCCGTAGTGAAATAGATGGTTTTTAGGAGGTCTCATTTTAGTAACAGGAAAGCTTGGCAATTGTATTAGTCCATTATCATGCTGCTCTGAAGAAATACCTGAGACTGGGTAATTTATGAAGAAAAGAGTTTATTGACTCTCAGTTCCACCTGCCTGGGGAGGCCTCAGGAAACTTACAATCTTAGTGGAAGGCACATCTTCACAGGGCAGCAGGAGAGAGGATGAGTGCCAGGAGGGGAAATGCCAGATGTCTATAAAACCATCAGATCTTGTAAGACTCACTCATTATCACAAGAATAGCATGGAAGAAAGCACCCTCATGATCCAGTTCCCTCCACCTGGCCCCCTCCTTGACATGTGGAGATTATTACAATTCAAGGTGAGATTTAGGTGGGGACACAGAGCCAAACCATATCAGCAATGTAACCAAAATATTATTTCTTTTGATTAACGTTAGGTTAAACTGTGTTAAGGTGTCTTACGATTATTCATGCAGTGAAGTGTGCACAGATAAAGATGGCTCTAATTTATATACAGTATCTTTCCATGAGAAAGTTGAGTGTCCAATTTTATCTCAAAGAGTAATGTCTTGATTATAACATGGTCTCAGTGCTTGAAGCAGTGACTACCACATTGCGTATATGGTGAACTGTCCAAAAATGAAATCCTTGTTACATGATACTTAAAGTGTGTTCACATGTACCTTTTGTAACAATAGAGAAAGGTGCTTAGTTGCACAGATGGCATTATACAAACAAATCTACAAACAACACATTTATAAATAATATAGAACTGGAAAATAAAATGGTATTGCATACATTTATATCTGCTATCATTTCCTTCAACAAATAGAGACTTCTGCTTGTTTTAATATTTATTCACAAAAACTTTTATATAAGCCTTTCTTTTAAGGAATGCTCTTTATCTCTGCTTATTCCCCTAAGCTGGCTCATTCTTGCTGATCATAGCATAAGCAAAATATACCTTCAAAGCCTTTAATATTTTCTCCTAACCATTGAGTTAGGTGTATGTCTGAAAAGATAAATGTGTCTTCCTTGGGATATATTTGTTTTTATATTGGTCAAGATAAGCCAACAGCTTGAGTACCTGAATATTATCAAGCTTTGCACATATGAAGGTATTTGGTAAAAATATAATCTTGGAGGGTATGATTATAAGCAAATTCACAGCCTCAGGAGTGCTATGAGAGACTTTTATTTTGGTAAAACTCATAAGTGTCATTCCATAAAATTTGCAGTTTTACTTTCTAAAAACTCAACTAACCCTTTCCTTCTCTTTCCCTCTCTTGCTGATACAGATCCACATCCAGAGAACTGAAGGATGTGACCACATGACCTGCTCACAATGTAACACTAATTTTTGTTATCGATGTGGGGAGAGGTACCGCCAGCTCCGATTTTTTGGAGACCACACATCAAACCTCAGTATATTTGGATGCAAATATCGCTACCTCCCGGAAAGACCTCATTTAAGGAGATTAGTGCGAGGGTCAGTCTGTGGTGAGTGTCTGACATGCTTATGTGTATCTTCCCTGGGAATTAAGTCATGAAAATAGAACTTAGAAATGTGCAGCCAGGGATGGGGGGCAAAAAAAAAAAAAAAAGAAATGTGCAGCCATGATAATTTAGATCACTTGCCACGTGCCCAGTATTCAGAGGAGGATATTCTCTCACCCTTTAAGATTAAAATTTAAAACTTACATTTTGTTAGCAGGACACTACTTAAATGAGCAAGTAGAGTTTGTCTGAAAAAGCAAATTATTAATTACATGCAGAAATCTGAGGTTATTTGCCTCTTAAATTTCTGAAACCCTATCATAAGCCACTTGAGAAGAGGGACAGTGTCACATTTATTTTTGTAATGGACAATATCCAGTAGCAAGTCTTATACATATCTTCTACCCATTCATGGAGGACATGCAATACAGTACAGCATGGAACATGGTCTAGGAAGGTGGGGGGAATATCCACCTTTTAGAGCCTTGTAATAGAGTCCCATTAAATATATATATAATTGATAAGTTGTATATATTTTCATTGTTTTAATCATTAATAGGTAACAGTTAATATAATTAATAAGTATCAAATGCCCTCAGTGCATACAAACCCCAGTATAATTATCCAAGTGAAAATGCTTTTGTGGATTGACTTTTTACCCCCTATTCCTCAACAACACATAGTTACACAACCCCTTCCCACACTGGCACACAAATATGCAAATGGAAACAGGCAGCTGACCATAGACAAATCACTCTGGCCAAACGCCACTGGCTTTGGGTAATACGGAGTTCTTTGACCAAACGTTTCTTCTTCTACTCCTCTGGAATGTATTCTATTCCCTTCTGCTCTGGGATGGAACCATCCTCTTTTTCATCACATAGATGTCTGTTAAAATTCCTTTTCTGGCAGTGTTTCTGATTGCCTACATGGCAATCCTTTTTATTATCTTTCACATTTTCCTTTTCCTTCCTACTTTTGCCCAGTTACTTTATGGAAAGTCTTTATATCTCTCCTTAGCCCTTTGTCACTTCATGACTGTTGTGAACCATCTTCCTCCTTAGAAGTGTATGATAGCTGATCAGAACAAAGCTGATGTTAGTGATAGATTCTATCAGGTAAAAGAACATATATATTCAAACGCACTTTCACATATGGAAACCAATGCCATCATTTTCTAAAGTCTATGTGATCTTTATAAAAATATTCTTCCTGAGGTTAATTGAACATAAGTTTCCACAGCCAATAGTATTCAATAGTCAGCACTGCTTTTAATGATTTTCCACTGTGTACCGCTTCTTAATTTGCAAATATGGTAGATGTTATAACTGTATAATTGGTTATAATTATATGACCAATATAAGGTATTAAACAGGTATTAGAGGGGTAACTAGGGAATTTAACCTTAACCTCTAATACTATGAGAAAATTAATTGCAAGTTAAGTTTTGAGATAGAACCTATTTGCAAATCTATGCAGAAAGCAACTTGAAAACACAAAATCACTATATTTTCTGCTTTGTTATTTTATTTTCTACCTCAGTGCCTCCTTTAATTTTATTATGGCAGGGTGTTCACTTCCATTCTTTGTTTGTTTGTTTGTTTGTTTGTTTGTTTGTTTTTGAGACGAAGTTTCACTCTTGTTACCCAGGCTGGAGTGCAATGGCGCGATCTCGGCTCACTGCAACCTCCGCCTCCTGGGTTCAGGCAATTCTTCTGCTTCAGCCTCCTGAGTAGCTGGGATTACAGGCACGTGCCACCATGCCCAGCTAATTTTTTTGTATTTTTAGTAGAGATGGGGTTTCACCATGTTGACCAGGATGGTCTCGATCTCTTGACCTCATGATCCACCCGCCTTGGCCTCCCAAAGTGCTGGGATTACAGGCTTGAGCCACCGTGCCCGGCCCATTCTTTGTTTTAAATAGAGAAGACATTTGTTTTGCTCATGGTTCTAGAGGCTGAGCAGTCCAAGATCCAGTGGCTGTATTTGGTGAGGGCCTTTGTGCTGCGTGGCTGGAGGGCAGGCAAGCACAGGAGACAGAGAGAAAATGGGAGCTGAACTTACCCTTTTGTCAGGAACCCACTCCCTTGATAACCAACACACTACCATTGTAGTGGTATTAATCCATTCATAAGGGCTCTGATCTCAAGACCTAATCACCTCTTACAGGCCCAACCTCCCAGCCTCCTTTCTGGCCTGTCTTTTGTGGGTACACTTGCATGTGTGTACATAAAATCACATCAGGTTAAACCTGACAAAGGAGGGAGCAGCTGGCTTGAAGATAAACTCTCATCCACATGTATTTTCCCCATCCCAAGCACAGCTGCCTCTGTTATTGGACCAAATCTACAAGTAAAGTGGTCCTACCTCCCCATCCCCACAAAAAGCAGGAAAAGTAATTTTGTGATTTGTAAAGTTACATACTCCCTGCCATTTCAGAGAGAAGATGGAGTATAGGAAAGCACTCGCACCTACTGTCCTTGTGTGATTTAACCTAACTTGCTGCCTCAGTCTTGGAATACAGCCTCATGTGGTCCTTGGCCAGAGGCAGAGAAAGGGACTTCATCTCTCTCACAGCTGAAGCAGCTGAAGGGTGGGAAATATGGTCTTCATTCCGTGTAACCATGTGCCCAGCTAGAGATCAAATGTTCTGCTCCTATATTATAAGGGAGAAGAGAGATTTGGGGATGATTAGTCTGACACAGGGGCATCTCCACAGTGGCAGGTGGGTAGATTATTAAAGGAATGGTACTGGGCATAAAAGTGGCCGAGGAGAAATTTTAAATTCTCATATTACTCCATACAAAAATTCTAAGTTTTAAGTCATATAATCTTAAAGACTAGGTCTTCAATTGATTTCTAGATGACAATTAATTTATATAAACAAAAGCAATGGAGCCTTCTCCAGAAACAAATACTCAATTTAAAAAAAATCATAAGCCTGGGGCCAGAATTGAAGAAATACAAGTAGCCAATACATATGGTCAGAAATATTCAGTGTTATTAGCTGTCACAGAAATGTAAGTCAGCATTCTCAAAATGAGATGCAAACTCATCATTAGTTAGCAGATGTTTAATCAAGTTAATAATACTCACTTTCATACTTACTGAATTGAAAATTTTGGACAATTCTTTTTGCAAAGAAATTTGATACTAATGTGAAGTGCATTTTAAAACATTAAAATCTAGATAGACTGAAAATGGTTGATGTGCAAGTATAATTTAAAATAGTAAAAAAGGAACGAAAAGGTATAGGAAAACTTAAATAAAATATGATGTATGGATATGATAGAATATTATTTTAACAATTGAAAATGATGTTTTAAAGCAGTGTTACTAATTTAGGAATAAGGGATAGTATGCTTAGTCCCTTAAGACGGTTTCAAAAGTAGATGTAAACATGTTTTGAACATGGATTGCATAATTGGAGTAAGTTTATTTCCTATCTGATTTCTTGAATTCTGTGATGTTTGAGAGGAAAAGGAAAATCAATGCTGTTACTTTGTAGTCATGTTTTATTAGTATTAGAAAAATGTACTGATAATTATTTAAAAAGGAAATATGAATGAACAGACTGATCTATATGCAAAGGAGAAAAACACATTCTTTTAAAATACATGTGCTTTTATATCCTAAACTCTTAAGCATCACTTTAAGAGTGCACTAAACATAATTGTTCAGTGGGACTTATTACGTACTTGGATTCTGTCATTGGTGAAAAATATAAACAAAATTCATGTCTAGACATACTACTAATTGAATGGAGATGTTTTTAAATTAGAAATTTAAAACAGTATTGTATACCTGTATGGTCATCTGGTTCCAAAGATCATTCTTTAAGAATAAAAAAGTTACTTTGTTTTGAGAAACTTCCAACAAATGGCTGTATTATGTTTCTTTTTTTTTAAATGTAACTGGTTATTCTAAATTACTGTCCTTAATTTATAGAATGGTGCTACTGTTTCATTCTTAAATTGCAATATGAGTCTACTGCAGAGTTTCTGTTTCTCATCTCTTGTTGCATTTGAGTTGTGCAGCTGTGAAGCTGTGTTATATCCTTAAGGCAGGCGTCCCCAAACGACACTACGGGCCGCATGCGGCCCCCTGAGGCCATTTATCCGGCCCCCCCGCCGCACTTCAGGAAGGGGCACCTCTTTCATTGGTGGTCAGTGAAAGGAGCACAGTATGTGGTGGCCCTCCAACGGTCTGAGGGACAGTGAACTGGCCCCCTGTGTAAAAAGTTTGGGGATGCCTGCCTTAAGGTTTACAATACAATAGCAACATGTTATTTATTATTGCTCTTTTTTGTGGCTGTGTCTTTCAAAGTCAGTGGGATTGTGATGGTGGACTCTGCCATGTATACTTATGAGAAGAGTTTATCATCACTGCTTAATGATTTATTTAGAAAATAAAATGCTGGTTAATACCACTTGACATCCTTACCAGCACTTACCCTTCTTATTTTATAAGTGCTTCCTTTTTCAATTTGTTAAAATGATTTACTTGAGTGTCTTTCAACGTATTGTATATATATTAGTAGCTTACTCTAACATCTTAAAATGTCCCATTTGTAGTTCAGTCTGGTAGGCATTCATATCATTAGTTTTCTTTGGACCCAGGATGTAAACAAACCACTTCTTTAGGTGTGGGCTTGAACAGAAGCCCTCTATAGGGCCTAGCAGCTCTCCATGTTGTAAGATAACTGGGTTTTCTCCTACCAACTCAAAATGCACAGCTTAATCTTTTAGCATTGCAAGCATTGAAAATGGAAAGGATCTTAAGGAAAAGCACAAAGATGAATTGTCCGGGTAGAACGCAGTGAGCCAGATGTTTTGGAATGTTTTTGGTTGGGAAGGATAAGTGATTTATGAGATGTTTGGTGCATGTGCTCAGGACTTTGGTGAAGTTACTAAACTTACATGTGTATATCTGTTCTATACCTAATACTGATACATTTCTTAGATATATACAGCCTTAAATGTAATCAGACTACTTAAAAAATAATACATACTGTGCTATTTAAAAAGCATCACTGTTATTATGTGGCAAGTTAGTTTTGAGACTCCTGAAATTATTTTGCCTTTTGTTTTCCAGCTGGAAAATTATTCATTGCACCTCTAATTATGGTTTTGGGATTGGCACTAGGGGCCATAGCAGTTGTAATCGGTAAGAAATATTTCATGTACCTGAGATTAGAATTTTCTGAGGGCCATAGGGAGAATATGAGTGTAAATGTAATAATACAAATCAATTACTAAGTGGACATAATTTCTATTATATGCCTCCTTTAGATAGATTACCAGAATATCATTTAAAAGATCAAAGGAGCGTGTTTCCTGTAGGATGTGTTAGTATGAATTTTTCAGTCTATGACCACTCTGAGTTACGTATCTTATAAAGCATTATTAACCCTTTTATGATACAAAGTTAATAGAATTAGTATCTTAGGGAAGGAGGCAAGTGGAATAGAATCCAAATTTTCTAATTCTGAGTTCAGGTTGAAGCACCAAGGAAAAGAAGTTCTGGTTCACCCTATGTGTTTGGTTTGGTCCAGTAAAAGATGCCATGGATAAAATCAGGTAATGTCAGTGTGCACAGGAGCATATACCCAGCATACACTTGAGCACTGACAAATAGAAAACCTTGCAGTGATTTGCACAGTTTTATTTATGCAAGTATATTAAAATATGTATTTTAAAGCAGTGGTTTTCAGACTGTAGCATGCTTTAGGAATATGCTGGAGGGCTGGATAAAACCCAGATTGCTGGTTTCTATCTGCAGTTTCTGACTCAGTATGGGAGAAAGGTCCATGGATTTTTATTTTTAAAAAGTTCCCAGGTGATTCTTATGCAGCTGGTTCAGGGGCCATATGCTGAGAACTATTGCTTTAATAATTTTAAACTAAATGCTGTAGATAAAGTCTGCTTTGGTCATTGTTCCATATTCTAGATGGATTTTTTTTTTTTGCTAAATAAAATTATTTTCATATGTCAACTTGTGTTTAGCAATTAATACATGTGCAGGACAGATAGAATTGTAAAGTATCTGGCATTTAAGTTCTTGCATATGAGTTAGGACATTATGAAATAGATAGTATTATCTATATTATTCAGTTGAGGAAATATTATTATCTTTATTATACAGTTGAGGAAATAAAGCCTTACTAGGACCTCATAAGTGGTAGAACCAAGACTCAAACTTAACATTTGGCTCCACAGCCTGTGTTGTTAAGTAATATGCTATACTGCCTGAAACAAGTGTGACTGTCATAGTGTGCAAATGATATGACTGTGGACAGTAAAGAAGATTCAAACCAAAGGTTTGATATTTTGATAGAAATCATTATTCCAATTTAAACTGGCATCACCGAGGGTGTTAAAAGGGGAGAAAAGCTAAAGAGAAATATTAAAGAATTATTAATTAAAGAATTAAAGAAAAATATTAAAGAATTTTGTAGAAGTAGATACATTTCATAGCATAGATGTCTTCTCTTTTCATGTTCATACATTGCAAATAAATGAGAACATTTTAAAATAGGAAAACCTAAATGTCTTCATCCTAACTAACTTTAATTTTTTTTATCCCTAGGTTTATTTGTATTTCCTATCTATTGCCTTTGTAAAAAACAGAGGAAACGATCACGGACAGGTATGCACTGGTAAAATGCAGTTGATTTCATCCAAATAAGCTGGTTTGAGTAGGAGTGATATAGAATGGTACACCCATCTGTGAGTCACATCTTGAAAAATACTGAGAGGAACCTTCTACCATCTCATCTCCCAGTGATTCTCCGTGGGCCATAATGCCTCTAGCTATGGTGCACTCCCAACATGGTATCCTGTCCTTTCCCTAAACAAATTGCTGCTGCTTTTAAAAAATGGTCACTTTCATAAACTATAAACATCTATATCATAACTCTGCCCTTTGTGGTTCTTGGAAGAAGATACTTTAGGAACAGTTATCCTCAGAATTCTTCTGAGCACGCCTCTTCTGAGAATTGCTTGGACTGTCTTTGAACTCTGCACCTCCTTCCAGGCCATCTTGTGAGACTTGGTATGAATAGCTGAAGTCCCATCTGTACCAACAAGCAAGGCCACTTTTCAGAAGATAAGAGTTCACTGAATGCACCTATTATAATCTGTGGCCCAAGCAGTATAATTCCTTTATCCATCAAATGTTAAAAGCCTCAATGTCCAAAAGGGAATGAATGAAAGTAAATTAATGAGAAGAATACTAAGTTACTGAAGTGTATATGTGTAGAGGTGTGAATGTGTGTGTATATATAAATATGTATTAAAACTAGGCCTAATAACCTTGTATTTATCCAGTTCCATACCGCTACACTATTTTTCCACATTTTCATAGACCTATTGAAAGATGATGGTTCCTTTGTGGACGTAATTTGGCAATGTATTGAATTAAAGTCAATGTAGACAACAGGCTATTTCGATGCTGACCTTTTCTATTTCTTGCTCTTTCTTTTTGTCACACACACACAGAAATTTGTGCAACATCACCCCAAGGAGTATTAAGCTTTGTAAACTGACAAAACTGGCTGCTTTTAGGAAATTTTCAAGACCCGAATATTCAGTCTTTTTAAAATGTATTTTGGAATAGATGCTTCACTCTATAGATAGATCCTTCACATGGGGATTATTTAATCCAAAAAACAAGTTTGCTATAGAGAACTGCTTAAGCCTTTTTAAAAAAAAATCCTATTCTGCTAATTTTTTCTGCTTTTAGGAAATTTTCAAGACCCAAATATTCAGTCTTTTTAAAATGTATTTTGGAATAGATGCTTCACTCTATAGATAGATCCTTCACATGGGGATTATTTAATCCAAAAAACAAGTTTGCTATAAAGAACTGCTTAAGCCTTTTTTAAAAAAAATCCTGTTCTGCTAATTTTTCACCCAACTTACAATTATAGATAATTCTGCTTTAGGTCAAGGTCTTACATCATTTAATATCCTAACCCTGTTCTCTCTTGTCTCCTCCTCTCTTTTTTATTTGTTCCCAAGGTTTTTCATAAAAAACAATACAAGTTTTGAAAGATTTTTTTCTTAACTGCTCAAACATGTATATTTTTTTGGTGTCCTCTTATGGAGGAGTTAGTTTGAAAACTTTTATGTTTATCAGTTTATCTGAAATATCAACTGCTTTTAGAGAAGGAAACAAAAAAGTGAAGGAAATATTTTCAGCAAGTTTTTTTCAACCTACGAAAGCTTTAAAAATAAGAAATGGACAAGTAACTAGACTATGATATGCCTTTGTTTTCATCACAGAAGTTAATCAGCAGACAGGAAAAAAAGACTCCTAAAAAGCCTAAAGCTCCTAATTGTCTCAAAATTCTTAAAATTAGCCATTTGTCTTAGATGTACATTTATTTGTTGGCAACCCTGTCTGATTTGAAATAGATGATATGATAAAACATGCATTAACATGAGTAATCTGTTTTTGTTGGCCTCCAGAGTGTAAGAAAATTTATTTTTGTTTTACATAAAGTAAAGTTTACCTGCTTGAATAACAAGCCAGTATGCTTTCACTCTTTCTAAATAACATGGAATCTCTGTACTACAGCTTCTGGAAGTTGTCTATTTCCAGTAAGAAGAGTGTGTGACACTTATGGTTTGTGAATAACATCTTTTTAAAGCATAATATTATACAAGAAAAAAGTGATGCTCTGGTTTCACAAATTTATCTTTTAATTCATCCATCCATTCATCCATTTGACAGATATTTATTGAGTGCCTGTTTTAGGTGTTCTAGTATTAAGACTGAAAGAAGGAGAATTTCTAGCCTGTCATAAGAGTACTTAGGCTTTGTAAATTCATCTTTCCTGAACTTAGGCATTAGTGTGGCAATATGTGAATATGATGAACTCTAAACCTAGCTGATCTGTATATGTATGATGTATATATATGTATGGTATATATGAAATATTCCCACAACTGCATATGAACGCATATGCCATATATGTATGTACCAACTGGCTGAATAACATACTCTTTGGTCTTGGATAATCTATATTCTAGGTTATGTGTCTGTTATCTTTGGCCTACTCAGGGATTTTTATTTCTTTTTTTAAATAACTTATCTTTTGGACATATTTTTATATTATTTGGAAAACTTTCCAATATTCCATTTACAAAGTGATTTTCAGTGAAGGCTATTTCATCAATGCTTGAAATAGTGTGCACTGTGTTGCACAGGCTTTTCATTTTTCTATTGAGTAGATATTTTTAAATTAACATATACATTTTTATATTAGGTGATATATATTAGGCCTTTCCCTGCTGGTAACTTAAAATGATTATTTGTGAATTTTTTACTAAGTTCCATCAAGATCTCAAAAAGAGAGAAGAAAATTAAAAGTATTATTTATATGTCAGTGCCAACTTTGAAGGTAAAACAATAGTAGTAACTTTTGGGAGAAATTCTAAAAACTACTTTAAAAAAGAAGCATGCACATAAAATAAATGTCTTTCTATCCAAGGCTTGTCATTTTTATATGCTTTTATTGTAAATTTAATATATACTACTTTAAAAAATTGAACCATACAGAATTTATAAAATACAATTTTCTCTGCTCACCCCACCCCTTGTTTTCTAGGGGTAACCACTGTTAATGGTTTATTATGTGTCCTTGCAGGCACTTTCTACAAATATACAAGTAAGTGTGTTTGTGTATGTGTCTGTGTGTTTATTCATTTTATACAAATAGAAAAATATTCTTACTGTGCTGTGACTGTCATTTTATTATATATCAATAGATACCTTTCCATAAGAGTTTAAATAGATTTACCTCATTTTTTAAAATAAATTACTGCGTAATCCATTGGAGGGGTATACTTTAATTTATTGAATTAGTCCCCTGTTGAATGGACTACAAGATTATTTTCACTTCTCTGTTACAAAGAAAGTGAGGACCCTTTGGCATGTATTTTTGTCACCTTGAGTGAACATATCCATAAGATTGTACATTTGTTTTTTACAAGATCTTTGTAATAAACATTTTAATGTAATTTCAGGAGATTAGGTCACAGAATAATATGGGACCCTTTTTTGAATAAAAAGAAAGATTGTACAGGAGTGCATAATTTTTAAAGAAAATCATCGTTTGAAGGATAATTTCCTTTCTACCTGATTAGCCAAACAAATACCTTGCCAAAACTTACAGGAGGAAATCTTTTTCCAATAAAATAAAATTTGAGGAGATGTCTGTCAGATAATGTGAGAAAGATGAATTGACTTTTAGATTGCCTCATTTTAAAATTTGAGGGATTTAAATAAAATACTTGAGCCAAATTGGTGATACTTGTCACATTTTTAATAACACTGTCCATTTTTGTGTATGTTGCTTGACAGAGGAACTTAATTATGCCATTGTGAAAAGTAGGAAAGAATATGTCAGCAATTGTAAATGCCCGCAACAATTCCCAGAAAAATAAATTAGATCATGTACGATTTAGTGATTTGATGGGATAATTATAAATTATGGAATAATTTATATATGTGGAGTAAGAAGAGAGGAGTCAAACCTTTTGGTACAAGCCACATCATGTTGCCACCACCTTGATTTTTCTCGTAGGTGCTATTGTAGCCTAAGAGTAGAACAGATAAGAAAACAATCAAAGATAATTAAACACAAGTCAGGTTACAACATGATACCGTTCATTGTACTTTCTCTGCTGTCGTATCAAGATTCAGTGGCACTTGTCAGGAAATTCTTGTTCTGTAACATCCACTATCTCTTGAGTCCCAAGGCTCCAACTGATCCTTTATCTTTCAGTCTTACCACCCAAATATATTACCGTCTGCTCTCCTAAAATGCCTATGAATCACTGTTATCATTTCCAGTCACTGGTGCCCCTCCTCAACCTCATTTTCTCTATACCTCTGCTATTCTAACTATTCCTCTTCACTGAAAAAGAGGAGAGACAGGAGGGGCCAAAAAATTCATTCTGGCATGTGCAGATCATCAGTATTCCTTCTGACCTTTGTCAAATGAGAGCAAATCTGCCAAGACATCAATCCAGCTGCTCTCTTGTTAAATGCAATTTTTTTTTTAATGTTACACTTGTACACTGGCTGTTACATTTAGAATTATCAAAAAGTCAGTGGCCTCTAGAACCTTAATTGGCATACTTTATTAAGTACAAAAATAAATTTATGCCGAAAAACATTTTTAGATTTTAATTTTATAAGCAAGCTGCACGTAAGCCTTAATGTGAGTCTTCACATTGGATTATATTTTTATTCTTCCATGTTTGTGGCTGAAATCTTTCCTAACTATTGAAAGTGATTTTCCATGGTCTGCTTTATTGTTTTGTGTTAATATCTGTTATAAATATAGCCTTAAAACTTCATAATGCACTTTAAAATACTTGTGCCATTTAAATAATGATAATTAAAGCAATCAATGCATACATTTCAATGGAGACAGTATACAAAGTTAAAGCAACTGACACATGTATTTCAATGGAGACAGTAGGATAAGAGTATTAGCAAATAGGTGTCATCTCTTTAAATTTGGGAGGAATCAGAAGCTAAAGATTTAAAACAAGTAAAACATACCTGAAGAAAAGTAGCAATTTCGGAAATTATAGTAATCCTGGAAATTGGATATCAGGACCTCAAACATACCAAATAATAATAAAGTGTTACCTAATAATCTAATTGGAATTTTTTTTAAATATTAAGTTAATTTCTAGTGAAAGTTTTAACTGCAATTCTGTAATTCATGAGTTATTTAAAAGAAATCTCCCTGGCTAAAAATTCGATCAATCAGAACTATGAGTTTTGTATACCAATCCCAAGTTTAAGCATATTTTGCATTTAAAGTTATAATTATGACACTGTTCACCTAATATGGAAAATAAGTTACAAAATTCTTTTCTTTTTTTGGAACGGGGTCGGGGTGGTCTCTCCTTGTTGCCCAAGCTGGTCTCGAACTCTTGGGCTCAAGCGATCCTCCCTCCTCTGCCTCTGGGATAGCTGGGATTACAAGCATGCTCCTACTGTGCCTGTCTTCAAAGTCACATTGTGAATTTGTATAGCCACAATTATTTCAGTTTGATAAAACTGAAATAATTTTATAGTAGCATTAAAGTATCATCAGAACAAAATCAGAGTTCCAAAATTCGGTGAGTATTGTAGAATTGTGAAATGTTACCTTTTGGATGCAAACCAATCATGCAGACCTTTAAGAGAGAATTGCAGTGGGACTCCTTTATAACTGTGATTTTGAAAATAGAACAAATACACATTTCATAGCCAAACATTGTGTGGGACTTCTATTGTTATTATTTGTAAGGCTGAAACTCTAATTGACTTCATCCAAATCCAAGAAACAGAGAGTCACAGTAGTGTGAGACTATTCTCAATGCTTCTTTAGAGCATTAACTGAAGCTTTACTATATCACATACCTTACAAATCCCTATACATATTCCCAA